GCCCTCCCCCCAATGCTTATATGCAATGAAATGTAGAGAAGTTTGAGAAGACAAAAAAAAAACGCCATTTTTTCGAGAAATTTTAGAATTTGTAAAAAATTTGAGAGGAACTGACCTCCTCGTAGGATACTTTCTCGATGTCGATCATACCAGGCTCTTTCGTGCGGATCAATTAACACTTCGTATGCTTGTTGTAACAATGCAAAATATCTGTAAAAAAAATTCTATATTTTTCCCCAGATGCAAACTTTGACGTGACCGTACACAATGCACAAGCATACGCAATGGCTAAATTTGAAATCTTTAGCTTTCACAAATACACAGAATACCCCTGCAATGTTTCAGCTTTCTATCTTACCTGGTTCCCGAAATTGTTTCCCGTCAAAGAAATTTGCATATTTTTTTCGACAGTCCGTACGCGGGGCCTAGGCAGATATGGGAGAATATCTTAAAACAGGAGGTTGACACACGAAATGGGAATACGGCCCCAAAATTTCAGCCTCCCAGCTTTCCTGGTTGCTGAGTTGAAAGTGGATGACAAAGTTCACTTGCTTCCGAACACACACACGGACGACTTCTCGACAACTGTAGCAGCGCTCTAGCGCTGCACAGCAAAAACGTGTAAAAAACTTAATAAGTAGCTGTAATTTTACAGAATTTGTATAAATTCGAGGCTATCCTGTTGATGTATCCCTGGTGCTAATTACCCGGCTTCCTTTGCTCGTCCATCTGGAAAAAATCACTAGATCCCTTCGTCCTCTCCTCCCATTAGCTGTATGATCTTTCAACTTGGGCCAGGAAAAGCAATTACTCAAAATCAAAGTACCAGGAACCAAAAGTACCGGATCCTTTTTGGAACTAAAATATGTTCGAACTTATCAGAAAACCTACAAAAGACAGTTACCAAAAAAAAAAAATTCGAACCAAAAAAAGTTACCAAAAAAAAAAATCAGAGAACCTCGTGCATTCCTCGACATTATCGGGATTTTTGTCCGGATGCCATTTGAGTGCCAGTTTTCGGTACGCTTTTTTGATTGTCTCATTATCAGCTGTACGTTCCACTTCAAGTACTTCATAATGACATCGCATTGCAAATTCAGTTGTTCTAAAAAAACAAAAAAAAAAAGAAATAGTAAAATTGGAATGCTTTTTAACTTACTTAAATCCTTCTCTTTTTTCTTCCTTTTCTTTTCCTCTTTCACCCTACCCTTGAAAAACAATTACAAAAAAAATCCACTCCCATTATCAG